ATAATGGATTTAAAAGAGAAAGAGCTTAAGTGTTAAATTAAAAATTTGTGCCTATAAGATGGTTGCTACAATGCTTGTAAGAGGAATTAAACTTGATTTTTAGTGTCTAACATTTTGTTGGTTCTTAGGATTAGAATGGGTATTGGTATTATAAGATTTATGAAAGTTGAAATTTGGAAGGAAAGATTAGTCTTAGCTTGGGAAAAATATAACCATAAAGTGTTCAAAAGAGTATCTAGTAGGAGAAGTATGAATATGAAAGATATGAAATTATGCATGAATTTATACACTTTAAAGAAATGTAATCATGAAATTTTATGTCTTTATAGGACGTGTAGAAGAAGAAGAATATTTTGGAGATTTGAAACTACGACAAGTAAGTGAATAGCATTCCCTTTAATTTATTTTATTGTCATAGAGTTTTATTGAAACATTTTATTTTTATGAATTACATTAATTTTGAAAACTATGGAATATTAATAAAGGACAAAAGAATTATGCTATGTGCATTTATTTATTCTCAAAAGCGTATTCCCAAGGATGATGAAAGCACTCTTGTATGGTTAAGTTGTGAAATGTATTGACTATTGAAGTACTGTAAGTTTGGCACAATTGCTATAAAGTAAAGTTTTCATAAATTTTAAGATTTGAAACAACACATGCAAGTTTGGCATTGAGAATGGAAATTTTATTATAGCAATAATTATTTTTCTTGCATATTTGAAACGTGATTTTAAGAGGACTCTAAACAAAATACTGCTGTTAACAGTAGTTCCATTAGCCTGTAGCGCGCTGTGGTTAAACACTAGCTAGTTTGTCTCGCAGCCTTGTTCTCACATTTGATATTCATGGGCTTTGTACCCGTGTTTGATTTCATGGGCTGAGTCGTATTTGGTTATTTACCTTAGTGGATGTGTGTCCATGTTTGTTTCTCAATTTCGGTTGTGTTTTATTACTTACCCTCGTGGACTGTGTGTCCATGTTTGTTTCTGTGGCATAGACCGTGTTTGTATTTACTCTCATGGACTGTGTGTTCACGTTTGTTACCTATCCTATTAAGTCCTTAAAAATTTTAAATGTTGACAAATATCTATTTATTAAAAAATTTACATGATTTTGGCTAGCAAATACATCACTTGGATTTACGTGTGAATAAATGGTTTTCTTCAAGCATGACAAAGATATATTGCTTCCAACTTACTTTCATTTTATGATAATGATTATGACTTACAGACTTACAAATTTATTTTGTTGAATTATTATTATTTAGTTTACGTTATTATTAGAGGTTGTTAATTTAGATTTTACAATTATACTTGGGAATTCTATTCATTGAAAAACTTATTTTGGCATCAAATTTGTTAGCTGATGTTAATCCCACCATTGATCTCTGAAGGGCAAACTAGCTACAGTGGGTGGAAATTTTTGACTGGTACTGTTGCCTTTAATGTAAATATATAATTTATATGTCTTTTTGATTTAAAAAAAGTAGATGCTCCACATAGTTGTTGATAGACCTTAATTTTGGTTTGTACATTGGTTGCTGGCTGGAAGGATCTACGTTCTTGATTTATACTGTTATCTATAAAAATTTCTGTTGTAAAATTTTTAGGAGATCCTAGTTACATGAGAGGTTCTGCCAAAATTTTTACAAAAATGTTGAAGTTTTCTTATGATAAGTAATATTAAAAATGTTATAAATTTTATATAATCTGATTATTTAAAAAAATGAATTGAATTTTTTTTTTCATGTTAAGGCCTACAGGAATGCGCGATGTAGTTTGCACCCGTGCCGGTCACCCTCTATTTTTGAGGCCAGACAAGAGGGGGAGATAAATTGTCATTGCATTGCATTATATAACTTTATTAAATAACCACATTGCCATTAATACCTCAACAACCACAATAATAATAAATTTAATGTCCATTTTTTAGACATTAATAGAGCCCATTATCCAACAACCACCAAAATCATTTATACTAAGTTTAAATATTATAAACAACTCTCATTAACTCTATTTGAGTCAATAAGTTTGGACCATACCTTATATAGACCGAAATCACCATCCACATCTAAACCCTAATTAAATCCTTGAGAAAATGGAAGAGAAAAGGAGAAAAAGGGTTTACGAATCTTGCCTTGGGTGTTTGTAGTCTCCAAAATACTCCCAATGTAATCCATAAGCAAACCATAGAAGAGCTTGGTGCATCTCTTTAGTTCTCTCTTTTCTTTCCTCTATTTTTTACATCAGTTCAAGTATTAATTTTGTAGATTCACACCATACGTCGCAGTGCCTGTCCCCACACACCGTCACATGTGGTATAGAGAAGGAAATTCTTGCCTGATGGCCCCGTGTGCCACACCCACCGTGCACGCACCGCAGCATGTGGCACAAAGGCTGTTAGCTTGCTTTTTGTCCACTTTTAGGTCTTCAAGTGACCTAATTTTACTTTGAACCTAAATTATACCTGAAATTCTAACTAAAAACTTATTATTCTCCTCTGACCACACACAACATAAACTTATTTATTATTCCTATTAATCTTAGTAATTCAAGGAATAAAAATCAGGATGTTACAGAAGACACTTTGGAGCTTGATTTTGATAGGGTTTGGGCATGAGAAGAGTTAGAATTAAGAGATTGAAGCTTTAAAGACATTTAGGAGCTCATTTTTTTTTTGTTTCTCTATTCCTCTTCCCTCTCCTCTTTTATATTCTAATATAGGTCTAAATATTTTGTATATTTGTAGCTTGTGGATGATTTTAAGTAGCTAAACACTTTGCTCTAGGATTTTTAAAAAACTATTATATGGGTTAACACTAATTTTCTTCTCTTTCTTTTTTGTGATTAATGACGTGTGTGTGTGTGTTTATTTTACTCTTCTCTTAATGCTTTTAAATAATGGCCACCATTTAGATGTTGGGTTCACTTCGTTGATGCTTGAAAAGGTTGAGTTGAGTATAGAACTTTAGGTAAAATAATGCAAGAACTTGAAGTTTTCATGTTCAATAGATGGTTTTGTTAGTAAAATAGAAATATACTTACTAACCTTGCATAACCACATTAAATTGGTGCTTAAAATTGGGTTTTATTAATTGTAACAAAGATTGGGCAATTAATTTAACTAAACACTTACTCCTGATTTGAGAAAATTAGTTCAAGTATTTTTAAAACCTATGTTAGTATTTATTTTCATTAAAACCATTTATTAGAAGAGGCAATTTTAGTTTTATGAAACGCAAGGGAGATAAAAAGCCTAAGTCCCATTTCAATCTTGAAGTCTAGAAATAATTTGTTTTTCTTTGTTTTCTAGTTTAATATATTTTCAAATCAATTTTGTGCAACCAATTGTATTTTGCTCAACTTAATTGAAATTGCAAAGCATTTTGCTTGACTATATTTTTAATACAAATCTCCATGAGAATGAATTCTACTCACTTTATATTACTTACTACAACCTATATACTAGCAGAGCGCAACATATATCATCCAAATAAATAGATGTTAAAATTAAAAGAAAAAAATTGGATAATGAAACTTTTAGTCCTTCAAGTTTGCCTCAATTATTAATTTAGTCTCAATTTTAATTTTTATTGATATGATCCATTATATTTTCTTAAATTATCATGTTAGTATATATATGAAATTTTAAAACAGAAATTTACTCTCATGCTAATCCATTGCATAAAAATATATATTTTGATAATTATTTGACATGTATATGTAGCTAAATGAGAATAAATTAATCCTCAAATCAGTCTAATTTTTATTAATCTAGTCCCTTATATTGTGTTTATTCTTTTATTTTTTTAAATTCGAGTTTGACATTTTACATTTCTTTAGTTAATCTATATGGGTGCCACCAAATTTAGTTATCTAGATTAGTAGATTTTATCAATGTTACCTCCTGTTTAAATAATATGGACCAAATCGATCAATAATTGAATCAACTTTCAAGACCAGATTGATAACTTGATAACCAAATTGATAATTGAGACAAGCTTGAGGGATTAAAAAATTTGTTATCCTAAAATAAATTAGGATTTATTTGTGGTTTCAACAAAAGAAAATACATATTTTGAAAAATTGTTGCCCCAAATGGATCAAAATTTTAAGGGACATTTTAAGATTTTATTGGGGTCTTAAAATGACATTATAATTTTTTTATTTGATTTTGAAGCATCATTTCCCCCTTTTTTTATTTGATTTTGAAGCATCATTTCCCCCTTTTTTTTTTCTTACCTACATTTAATATGGTGAGTTTGTGAAAGAAATAAAAAAAGGCTTCACACTTAATTTCTAGTGATGCCAAAAAGATTGTATAGCTACATCCCTGCAAGTACATATAGGGCCTGGTAACAAGTAATACAAAATGAGCATGACAACATTCATATGAAGATGGTTCTAAAGTTTGGTCAAGAATTAATTTCACACTTCAACTATAGTAAAAGAAAACTTCAAATAAAATAATAAAATCATATATTTTAGTGGGGCTCTTGGAGTTAATGAGTAATGGCACACATCTTAGATTATCTTCACCTAGTCACTTTGTAATGATAAGCTTTAAACTGAATTAATTAAATCATAATCTCGTGTCATTAATTTGTCACGCCCTAAAAATTAGACGTGACTGGCAAGAGATATATGCATAAACATATATCCCTTAAGCCTTGATTAAGGAAACTTTAATATAATATTTTAATTCATTCAAAATAGGATAGAAAATCATTGTAACATTTTTTTTATAAAATAAAATAAAATAAAAGATTCTTAAATTTTTTTTAACAAAACCTCCTCGTAAACATAGAACCTCAAAAAATATTTCATCCCAATCTATGACATCAACTCAATAAAAGAGAGCTCCTCTCCTCGACAACAATCAAACAGCACAATATAAAATTAGGACTTTAATTATAATCTATGTGGAGCACCTAAAACATTATTTATAAAAATACAATATATAAATTATGAATTTACATCAAAATAGAAATTAACCAAATGGTGTCTCAACTTCAGTCCCGAAGTAAAATGCCTTCAAGGATCTAATGGAAGTACAAGGTCCGCTATGCTATCTGAGACCAAAATATTTTTCAGTGAAGAATAACGTCCCAACAATAAATAACTGAATACAAAAAAAAATTAAACAATATGTAATTTAAAGAAGCAACGATTTTATAAAAAAATTTAATAAACTTCAAAATAAAATGATTCTATAAAATTTTAAATAAAATCTCAAACAGTTTTAAATCTCATAATAAATATTATTATCATTTGATTGCAAGTAAGCAAATAACAAAATCAATAATTATAAATAACTATTTAAAACCAGTGAGATGTAAGATTATCAAATAATCAAATTCATATAATAGGGACTTATCAGAACCATTAACAAACGTAGACACACAGTCCACGAGGTATGTAACCAAACACAGGAAGCGACACGAAACAAACGTGGACACACAGTCCACGAGGTATGTAATCAAACGCAGCCGAAGCCACGAAACAAACGTGAGTACGATGCTCACGAATAACCATCCCTCCATTCCACGTGCGTTGGCCATCGCACGGGGCTAGCACCTCCTATAAACACCCTGCTAGCTAGGTGTACCATGGCGCGCAAAGGGCTAACGGAACTGCCGTTAGCAACCAGTGTTCTATATAAAGTCCCCTTTAAAATCATTTTCAAACATGCGAGAAAATCTTCACTTTTCAGATACAGTTCTCATTCTCAAAATCAAACTCGCATGAATACTTTTAGGCATTAAAACTTGCCAGAATCAAATTTCATATCAGATGCTCATGCTTGCATTTATTGAAAAAAAAATAAACGTCGAACTCGCATGAATCATTCTCTATATCAATTCAACATTTGATAAAATAAAAATCTCATAATCAAAGTTCAAACTTGACTTAATTGATCAAATAACATTTCAAATTTGGTAAAGCTAATTTCTCAATCATAAAGAAATGTTAATCAACAAATATCCAATAATCACATTAATGCTATTAAAATGATTTTTTTAAAAAAATGTAATATTTAGTAAAGGAAATTATGAAAAAAAAACAGTTGGGACGCTATCCACTTACCTGCAACATCTCCAAGCGCAAATTACCCTTTAAAGCTTCAATCCTTCCTTATTACCTTAATCAAGAATTTCTTTCTCTAAATCCCTATTCAATAATACAAATTTAGTGGCCTCTGCTCAAATTTAATAAACCCTCCTCCTCTAACATCATAGTCACTAAGTTCTTAAACCAATCCAATATCTGCCTTTAATCAATCAATCCTTTCAATATTGTACATACACATGTCACACTTCACAACTAGGCCAAATCAATTCAGGAAGTAGAATAGATAAATCTTAAATCCAATATTTTTTTATTTTTTTTTTCAAATATTGCCTCAAATATTGTACTAACTACACAAACCTCCGTAATCATTAGTATTGCTTGCAATATACCAGTCAAACTCACAATAGTTTCATAATTGGCATTCTTCACAAAATTCAAGTTTCTTTTATAAATAATTAGCACCCAAGCCACGTATGACTTCATAAAGGTTAGTGAAATTTTTAGAAAATTATAACTAAACAAAACTCCTCCTAATAGGCATTTTATCAAACACCTCATAAGCATTAACTCCTGAAACTAATAATCCAAGGTTTTTTTTTTCCATTCCAATAACTTCCTCAGTACCTCAATACCAATTTTAAGTTCAACAACTTCCCAATTAAGCTCAAAGATAGTTAAATCAATTTATTCTTCTGGTGGAACCAATGTAAGTAAGAGAAATTAGCTACCAAAAACCATACTCTTAAGCTTAAATCTTGAATATGATCAGACTCCCTTCTACTACTCCAATCACACACAGCTACAACGAGAAAGAAATAAAAATCTCCAGCCATCACAGAACATCAACAACGCAGAAAGAAAGGGAAGAAAGTCACGAGCTGTACAGGGGAGAAGGGATTCGATGCAAACAAGCTACAACACAGTCAAAGGAGGAAGATTTTGTCACTCCCCAGTCACAAGCCACGGACGAACAAGGTAAAAAAAAACAAGAAAGAAGATGATCTGAGTACTCACCTCCACACGGACAGCACAAAAAAACACGAACAGAGGAGGAGAAAGAAAGGGTCGACGGAACAGGGGAGAAGACGACAGCCACACACCAGCCACCCTTTCATGAATCAGACCTCCAAAACTGTTAGACCAGTTCCTTGCGTGCTCACGATTCTTGAACGGAAAGAATGGAGGAGGAGAAAGAGGGTCCGACAACACCCACGACTGAAATGATCTGAGGATCAGCGATGAAATAGGATCCCCAGACCTGCTATCCGAACCTCCTCTCTTGCTTGCACGGCTGGTGACCTTAAAAATGATAGAGAAAGGATGGAAAGTCGGATAATGGACGAGGACTCTCTCTCTCTCGCTGAATCTAGAATTTTCGACCATAGGGGAAAAGAGATATGTCGGTTAAAAAGAATGCTACTGCTCTCTGTTTTCCGCACGAAGGAGAGAAGAAAATATGAATACAAGAACAATCGAGAAAATTGCAAGAAGGCCACAGGGAAAATTACAAAATGAGGCTAAATTTTTTTTTATAATTTAAAACAAAATAAAATCAAACCTTTTTTAGTAGAAATCAAGCCTTAAAACTTTAAAAAAATTACTAGCATAAATTTCTTTAAATCACCACTTTTCATTTAAAAAAAATAATTTAAATAAAATATAAATTGAGAGAATATATATATATATATATATTTAAAATTTTAAGGTTATTACATAATTAATCTGCTGTAATTAAGGAGACGGCATGATAGAAACTGGCACTGAGGCACAATTTGCTGTCGTTTTCCCCTTTATTGCTATAATTACACACACACACACACACACATATCATTAACCCTCAAATTAATTGAAAAAAAATACATATAGAGTATGTATTTTTCACAAGAATATGAACTATATTTACTTGGCAATATTATTTAATTTTCTACTTTAATTTTAACAAATTTACATGGGATATGCAGCCCAACAAACACTAAATAAACTAAGGAAAATATCTCAAATGATATGAATTTCAACTTATCAAATAGAGTTGGGAAAATGGGTTAGGCTTTGCCAAACTGCCAAAAAGTGATCGACGGCCTATTTGGTTCTACTTAAAATTTTGGAACGAAAACAAAAAATGGTTTCATACTCTAGGGGTTTTTGTTTGGTTTTGTTTTCTGTTCTTATGATCATAAAACAATTTTGTAGAATAGCTTTTTAGAAGTTTTGAAAACGTAAAATGAAAAATGTGTTTGAATCATTATTTTGAAAAACAAATCTAAATTTATGAAATAAAAGCCGAACAAATAATTTATTTTAATGACACAATTGTCATTAATAAAAGTATCATATTTTCTCCCTTCTATATAATTTTATAGAACAAAAATTAACAAAACATCTAAAAGATGTTATAGTTTTTTAATTCTTCAGAATAATTTTTAATTTTCCAGAATAGATAACAAAAAACATATTTTTAAACAATTTTTTATTTTTTATTTTTAAAATAAAAATATGATCTGAAAACAGGTAACCAAACAACAAAATTTTGGCCATCTCTCTCCATACAGACATATGCATGTAGATAGGAGCAAACAAATAATGGTGTACCTGTCATTTTGTCTTTTGGTTCTCCATTTTCTTCTGAACGTACAGATGAATCCATTTAATCTCTATAATGAAATCGATTAAACAAGTGGTTGATCATATGAATTAGAGATGGTGATAATCTGTTGCCAAAATGCTTCACGTCAGAATCAATTAAGAACCGTATGTCAATTATATTGGACTTGAATATAAATGTGTTCTGCACTATCTGAAGGAAAAAAAAAAGTATAAGGTTAGACCTGTTAAACCAAATATAATGTTCAAATTAAAATAATCAACATCATTAATTTAGCCATTTTCTGTGGTTGAGGTTAGTCCCTCATATTGTGTTTCATTCTTTTATTTTTAAAATTTTTGAGTCTGTTTTTTTTTACATAAATAGTTACATTTCTTTTTATTAATCTATATGGGTGCTACCAATATTTAGTTATCTAAATTAGTAGATTTTAATAGTGTTACATCTTATTTATATAATATGGACCAAATCCATCAATAACACAGCAACATTAAGAGACTAAATCGGTAATTTGATGACCAAATTGATAATTGAGACAAACTTGAGAAACCTAAAAGTTTTGTTATCTTAAAATAAATTAGGTGTCATTTTGTAGTTTCAACTAAGGAAAATACATATTTTGAAAAATTGTTGCCCCAAAATGTCAGTAGCGGATCAAAAATTTCAAGTGATATTTTGAAGACTTGGGGTCTTAAAATGTCATTATTATTTTTTATTTGATTCTGAAGCACCATTTTCCTCATTTTTTCCTTACCTACATTTAACTTAATGAGTTTAGGAAATAAATGAAATTAGGCTTCACACTTAATTTGTGGTGATGCCAAAAAGATTGTATAGCTACATCCCTGCAAGTTCATATAGGCCTTGTAACATGTAATACAAAATGAGTATAACAACATTCATATGAAGATTTGGTTCTAAATTTTGGTCAAAAATTAATTTCACACTTTTACTTAATTTGACCAAAGCAATTAATTAATTAGAGTAAAAGAAAACTTCAAACAAAAATAATAAACTCATATATTTTAGTGGGAATTTTGTAGTCAATGAGTAATGACACATACCTAGGATTATTCTTCACTTGGTCAATTCGTAAGGATAAGCTTAATCGAATTAATTAAATCATAATCTCTTGTGTAATTAATAATCAGCGATAATTAAGGAAACCGCATAAGATTGGCACTGAGGCACAATTCGCTGTCGTTTTCCCCTTTGTTGCTATAATATATATATATATATATCCCCCAAATTAATTGAAAACAATATATATAGAGAGCATGTATTTTCACAAGAATATGAACTATATTTACTTAGCAAGATTATTTAATTTTCTACTTTAATTTTAAAAAATTTATATGGGATATGCAGCCCAAAAAACACTAAAATAAACTAAGGAAAATGTATCAAATAATATGAATTTCCAATTGTCAACATAAAGCTGCAAAATGGGTTAGGCTGGGCGGGCTGGCTTGCAAAACTATCAAAAAGTGATTGATGGGTCTATTTAGTTCTACTCAAAATTTTGGAATGAAAACAAAAAAAAAAAATGCTTTCATATCCCAAGAGCTTGTTTGGTTTATTTTTTGTTTTTATGTTAATTCTTAAAAAAATTCTATAGAATAGTTTTTTTAGAACAAATTGTGAAAACAAATAATAAGAAAAACTTTTTAAACATTATTTTGAAAAACATCCGAATTGGCGAAATAAAAGGTGAATGAATAATTTATTTTAATAACATAATTGTCATTAATGAAAGCACGATATTTTTTGCTATCTCTCTAGTTTCGTAGAACCATATGTAACGAAACATTATGTTTTGGTTTTTTTTAATTCTTTATTTTTCAGAATAGATAACAAAAAATACCTTTTCAAATAATTTTTTTTTTGGTTTTTAGAACAAAAAACTGTTTAGAAAACAGGTAATCAAACAATTCATAAAATTATGGCCATCTCTCTCCATATACACACACGTGCATGTAGATAGGAAGATATACTCTCGCGTGCAAACAAATAATGGGTACGTGTCATTTTGTCTTTTGATTTTCCATTTTCTTCTGAACGTATAGATGAATCCATTTAATCTCCATAATGCTATCCATTAAACAAGTGGTTGATCATATGGATTAGACATGGTGATAATCTGTTGTCAAAAAGCTTCATCACGTCAGAGTCAATTAAGAACCGTATATCAATTGGACGTGAATATGAATGTGTTCTGTACTATCTGGGAAAAAAACCCATGAGCTTACACCTGCTAAACCAAAAATAATGTTGAGGTAATAAAACTTCTAGTCTCTTTAATTTGCCTCATTAATTTATTGTCACGTCCCAAAATAAGACGTGGCTGGCAAGGAATATGTGTGCAAAACCCATATTCCTGACGCCTTGGATACAGATTATTATTAAATAAAATATAATATCTTTAATACTTTTTTATATAAACCAAACATTAAATTTCTTGTAAAGAAGAATTTCATCAGATGCTCTTCTATAATTGAAACATAAAATTTTTCAACAACAAAGAACAACAATAATTTGACAAAAGAAACTCTACTCCTCATCAACAAATATACAATCTTATAGAAAACATGGATACTATTATAATCTATGTGGAGCATCTAGGACCATACTCTGAAAATAATACATAAGTCTAAATTTACGTCCAGTTGAGATTTTTCTTGAAATAACTCTTGCAACTTATCTTGCCATAAATCCCCTCAATGAACACCTCAAGATATAGATCGAGCTATAGCATCTGAAACCAAAAAACATCTTTCCCATTAAATAACATCCCAAATTTAAAATTTAAGGAAACAAAATATAGACACATAATTGGAATAAGTATGAATTTGACTAAAATAGTAATTTAAAATAGCAAGAGTACATAAATAAAATAATTTCATTTAAACACTTGATCCAAAATCATCTTCATATGATGATAACACAATAATCAAATTTAACTCTCTAGTTATCAAGCTCATGTCAACAGTTAGGAAATGCATTTCTTGTTATAATGAAATCCATTCATGAAAATAAACTTATTTAATAAGCTTCATTAAAAAAAAAGAATCTCACATTCTTTAGCAGGACTTTATCAGAACATATAATAAGCGTAAATACATAGTCCACGAGGATAAATAACTAATCAAGTGCAGCTGGAAGCCATGAAATAAGCGCGGCAAGAGCCATGAAAACAAGTGCAAGCATGAGGCCTACGAAAACAAGCGTGAATACGATTCTCACAAATAACCATCCCTCTATTCCACGAGTGTTGGCCTTCACACGGGCTAACATCTATAAACACCTTGCTAGCTAGGTGTACCATAACGTGCTAAGGGCTAACAAGACTGCCTTTAGCAACTAGCATTTTAATTCAATCCCACAATTTAAATCAAACATGCATGAATTGTAATGATACATCATTCCTCAACCCATAAATCAAACATTATCAATATAATAAATGATGATAGATACACAATCATAAAATAATGTTAACTCTTCTTTCAAAACTTAGTATATCATAAACATCTTTCTTCATAATGAGCATTAATAGAACTCAATTCATAATGATAAAATAGTCATGTGGACAAAATTGTGGGACTGAAACATTATTGTGGAGGAAATAAATTTATAAATAAGTTATTTGGGACACTATTCACTTACCTGAGACAATTCCAAATATATAACTTACTTCTAATTAGCTACTTTGTAATATTGCCTGCACCTTAATTCCCTAATGTTCAAAGGAACATTATTGTTATTTTTTTTGTATGCTTTATAA